GTTGCTTTTTGTAGGAGATTCTGAAATGGAAGTTCCCTGAAAGATAGTTGGTTTGTTTGAGAAAGAACAATGCTAGGTGCCAATCCTTTCAGTCCAGCAAATAACTGCTGGTTTGTGTGCAGTTTTTCTCAACTTGAACCACCAGTTCAATAATCATTTCCCGGCATCTCTCCTAGACAAATTGAAACTAGTCTTTGGAATTCTTTGTACATCTTTCATACTCAGAATCAAGTTTTGCACCAAACTGAACTTTTGACATAAGCGGCTGTATTCCATTCACATCATTCACCCTGCTTTGAAGAAATCTGTAGTGAACATCAAGGTCACTTTTTAGCTTTTCAGGATTGGCATTTGTTGTCTGAAAAAGTGTGTTTACATGTTCAAACTCAGAAACGAGTGATACTGTAAAAACAAAATAGAGATAGTTGGCATCATCTGATAGCATGTCCGCAATCAAACATACTTTGCATGCTTTTATCACTAGAAATATCAGTAGACTCATCAGCAAGCAAACAGTATTTCTTGTTTCTCATTTTGTTCATTACTTCATTTCCTAAACAAGGAGCAATCACGTTTTAATGAGCATTGAACACTTAAGTTCAGTGCAATCGAAGATTTTCAAGACAACTTTCCTTACCATGCTTCTTGATGACATCACCAATGTGATCAATACCACTAACAGAGCAGTGACAACACACTGCAACCTCGAGTTCTATTTCACATTTTTTAAGTTCCTTAGAAGCTTTTGATGTTGCCTTTGGAAAATTTATAGTACTGCATGAGGGAAGAATGGTACTTCTAACCTTATGTTATTTTTTCTCACTGTGTGTCTTTAAGGTGGCCTTTCTGGGATGCAGATTTTTCTTACATACTTTTCAATATGCCTGCTCATTGCCATTAGTACTCTTACTCAGCCAAGGGTACTCTCTTTCCCACTCAGGATGACACCTTCTTGCTGCTTCATAACCTTTCCACTTTGGCATTTTCAAGTTTTTGTTAGTATATTTAATATAATAATGTGAGTGAGAGAAGGCCTATACACTGTCGAGTTGCACATCAAACTTTACACAGCGCTAGTTGATGAGTTTGGTCACACAAGCAACGTTGCTTTGGCAGCAGTATACTGTACACATGCACGACCATGATACAGAGTGCAAAAAGAGATGACAGAGTATGTGACTGATGATGTCAAAAGTATAGCTTAGTTGTACACACAAAAAACTAATAAGGACCAGTATAATGTATTTTCATGTATTTAGTCTCAGAAATTCGAGGTTAAGACCAAATTAATACCAAATATTTGCTTCAGTACCAAATCTTTATTTTCGGAACCAAATAGCTTTGTTCAATACCAAATTTGTCCAATTTTGGTCTTGAAAAGTACCAAATGGCAGCCTTGCTGCCAATGAAACAATTTCTTTTCAGCACTGGTCCGCCAAAAATGACATATTATTTGTGCTCAGCTTTGTTGGTTGTCATAGAAACTGTCGATTGTTGGAATTTGCATATTTCACAAAACCATCCGAGCAGTGTGTGATGGCACAGTATCCAACAAATTGTCGGGCAGATACCTTCCAACGAGACGGTTTGACCTACGACACAGTGTGTGATAGGCTTTAAACAAGTGGCCATGCATCAGCTGATCACATGTTTGGCAACTATTTTTGACTTGAGACTCGAAGGCAAAATTTTCTTTTAGCTTCAATGCGTTTATAGGCAGTATTTCATTTTAAAAAGTTGTAACATAGTATTTGATAATCTGATATAATATGCATACATATGTGGGTATTATTATATTCCATTAAAGGGTACATCTATACTTTGCAGACATTCCGGACAAAATCAAACAAAAGTGGTGCGGGCAGTGAGCCCATCTCAGACTGGCTCCATGGCTTCTTCATTAAATCATACTGATGCAGTGATGCTATGATGAAAGCAAATAATATTATTCATTATACCTCTATATTTCCCAACACTACATAATATTATGGATCATAATTTCAACGAATTGCGGATATATAAAACTGTAGGCTCACACAAAATGTAAATGCTAGTCTTCAATATATGCAAACATTTTCTGAGATTCCAGGAAATTCCCAATCCCCCTTTGGACTCCTGGGCCCAAATACGAGATACCCCAGCACCCCCTTCTCATAGTTACTGGATGTAACACGTTTAGATTGCCCAGAGTTATTACATTTTGGTATGTTTATACAATGGTTTGTAGGAAATTTATATAAGTACAGGAGTGGGAGGACATTT